ACAAAAATCACGATTACGCGAACAGTTCTTGCCCGATTTCATTGATTTTTTCAGAGATTGAACTCAAGATCAATTGAAAACAAAATGCAAAATATTTTTCAAGTATCAGTAATATTTCATTACTAATTGACCTGTGAAAAGAGAGCACTCTAATTTATTACAGAATTCTTCACCACTTTGTAAAAGAACCAAACAATTCAGAAACTATCTCTTTTACATTATTGTTAAGAACAATGTAGTCTTCCTTTTCTCATAAAAATATGTTGGCTAACTGTTTTCGTTTTCTAGTAGCAGAACAATCGATTTTGTTTATTTAGCAGTCACGTGGCGTAATGTTGACATTAGCGTTATCATATTTTTTGGATAGAGTGTTGCAAGGGCTACAACATGTAAAAATTGTTAGTCATTAATAATTTTTATCAAGCTTTTTCTGTTTTGCCCAACGAAAGTCTACTACATCCTTAAGCAATTTATATTTATTTTTCATCGGAATCGCAACAGACTGCAAGCACGTCTATCGAGGCATATCAAAGATGCAAATGTAGGCAGATGCATGCACACAATACCCATTTTGCCATGAAAGTGCCTTTCACTTTGGCACCCACTATACGATGCACACTCCAAAACGTAGCATTAATAAGGATAAATAACATCACTGATTTATTACCTTCATTCCACTAAAAGGTACAATTTTTATTGAAAACTGAAAAAAGTAAATCACAAACAATTCAATGGTACTGGAATTATCAAAGAACACTTGCCAATTGCCAAGATTGGCGCCCTCACAGGCCTACCAAACAAACCTGAATTTTTTATTATACATAATTTATTTAAACACTGATGAGACGTACCAATAAGTTGAATTAATACATTTAAAGAGATAGAAAATATTTAATGTGATTGGAAAAAATTCTAAATTCTATAAACAAATTATATTTGATCCAAAATTAGAGGTGGATGCATCATGGCGAGCGAGAACTTTGAATTCGTTTTGATGTTACCTAGCAACCACAAGTGTGGCACACATTCAGGGTCGCCAGGTAAACTACACTCACTTTATTTACTAGTCCAAATAGTGTAACTTGGGATCTATTGTTGCAAGTTAATGCAGCAAGTACACATTTATCAATTCATAGCCCTATTTTATTATCAGAGTTAGTAACAAGATACAGCACTTGGGGGATACAAGACAAATAATGCCTGCATGTGACCAATCTAATATTTTTCAAAATAAACTGGAAAGCTGCATTCAACAGAACTTCACAGCATGACAAATTACCCATAATTCTCTTCGATTTACACAACTTGACTTAGATTTCTCTAAAACTTTTCATTGAAAACTTGTTGGTTGTGATTCAAGTCCCATGAACAGAATCGTACAATGCACAGTTCTGATGACTATCTGTTTAACCTATGTTTTCAGAAGTTAACTTTTGTCACCGATTAAAAAATAAACCCACAACATTTTTCAGAATTGTAAAAAAAATTGGATAAAGACATGGAGGTAATCAAAAATTTACCCAAGCTGCCCAAGTCAGTTTTCTGTGCTTCGCTACTGAATATTTGCTATACAATTTATCTGCACTTTTAATGATTGCACAAGTTACTGGAAGTAACCGAGTCTCAAATCAGGAAGTTCTTGTCTGCATAGAATCGAATTCATGGATATTACTATATTTTGCTTGAATATAACACACAATGAGCGAAAAGTAATATTGGCAGGGTGGAAGTTCATTTTTATTTTATTTAAGGTTTCTGGAAAATCAATTTGTTTCAGTGCACCTCGACCGACTCGAGTTGGAATACCTACATCGGTTGACAAATGTGTCAAGATATCACGCTATTTCAAGAATGTTTGCATAATTTTCTCAAAACTTTCAAGTTGTCTCTGCACAAAGTCAACAAGTTCTCATTTCTGTCAACAGTAACTCCAGCCAAAGCATCAAATCGTTCAATATGCGTTTGATGACTTTGTATCGTGGCCATTTCGGTTCAATTTGAATCCATTTAATGCAGGATTATGGGGGTTGACAAAATACACGCAAGTTGCATAAAGATTTATGATAATATTTCTGGGAGTTTGTTCCTATTTAGGAGTACATTTCTCAGAAACCACCATTTTGGAGTGTGCATTTCTGTGGCAATCAAGTCAAAATTATAATTTAACATGCCAAATTAATTTGCATCCTGCCAGTCATAGTTAGACTCAAACAAAACTTGTTTAAAAATGCTTTAGCAAATAGAAATACAACAGCATGAATCACCTGCCAGTTGACAAATATGGGCATGTAATTTAATAATTTACATTTACATGATTGGATGATTTTTTCAAGGGCTAAATTAATGTATGCGATATGCAAATTTATAGTTGGTGGAACAGGAAATGCACAGCAAATGTTCTGGAGACTTTGTTATTGAAGCGAAGAAAACTGAGGCAGCTTGGGTATCAAAAGTAGTATCCATTTGTACCAAAATTAACAAAGAAATAGAAAAAAAATAAAAAAATGTTACACACTTGGCAGGAAGAAGACGATTAATATTCTCATACTAATTATGACTAAAGTATAAACCGAAAGATTAGTCCGACCTTTTGTCTACATTATTTGTGTTTCAACACAAACACACACCTATTATATCATTGTTTATTTTTCAGATTGTTGTGTAACAAGTGGAGCAGCAATAATTTGATACAAATATTATCCACAATAGCTACTGTTATAATAAGAACACCAACAAACAAAATTATTAACATTTCTATTCTATACAAACCAATTTTATATTTCAAGCAAAATATAGAAAATTAATTATTTCACTGTTATGAAATACATTATATTTTCTTTACTACTTCACTTATTGCTATGTTATTATGCAAAAATAATTTTAATGTAAATATTTATACTTCAGGTCTTTCTTCCCATGAAACTAGTCCCCGGTCAACAAGTTCTCTGTTCACGTAACACATCTAAAAATAAAAGAATGTCAATACATTAGATAATTGTGTTTGCAAAGATTTGCAGCATTAAGAAATGTTTGTTTTTGTTTGTTTATTGATTCACATATTTTTGAATTCCTCGAATACACAATAACAAATCAGGACGACTCTTCATAATTTGAGCATATTAATACCATCCAGTACGTCACATACATTCTAAAACATAACCGAAAGTGATTTTTTTTTTTATGTAGTATGCCGAAAGTCACAATAAATTTTTTTCTTGATTGCGAGAATGTTAGTTGTATCTGCATTTCGGCAAAGTTTAGATGCAGAAATAAATTAAGCATGTTTGATTATTGTAAGAAAAATCACTACAAAAAATGTCTACACACACCAACCATCGAGTATGCTGCACATTGAGCATGGAGTACGCTGCACGCCGTGTCTGGTGGACGCTGCACGCCGAGGGTGGCGTACGCTGCACGCTGTGTCTGGTGTACGCCGAGTGTGGTGTACGCTGCATGCCAAGCGTGGCATACGGTAACTGTGGTGCTAATTTCATTCATGAGAACTGCACTCATCACAAATCATTGGTGATAGTGAAAATTTGCCACTTTCCAAAATGTCCATCTTTCTTATTTCTCCAGAAACATAAATTACCTTATTGTTAGGATATGCATACATATCCACCATCGGTATGCCATCATCAGCATAGTCTACAACCTGAATCTGTATTGGAGCCCCAGACATGGTTATCTCTTCCAAAGCAATCTCCGACTCCTGAGAAAAGTATTCCTCATCTACAGCAAAAATATAAACATTTATTCATGATTAGAGAGAGTAAATAAAATTAAAGCACGGCGATGGTCGTCGCGCAGTGCATGTTCGAATTTCATGTAAATAAACAATGTATTTTAAACGCGTTGTATACGTCGCTATGAGTCCATATCGAACAGGACGCGATCGTGGCATGATGACTGCTGCCATTTAAGGTTAGTTAGCTACCACTAAAACAGATGATTATATTAACTTGACTAATTAATTTAACTATTTTGATGTTTTAAGCAATTTCACTTGGTGGGAAGCAACAAGTTTTATGGGAATTTTAATTTAGTGAATTTTGCTTCACAGCAAAACAGAGAAATTAAAAACCAGTTAATATTAATGTGTTTACAGTAGCCTCAATTTTATGCTATAGTTCACAAAACTCGTAACAGTCATGAAATACTAACAAAAGTTGTATGAAATGTGTGTATAGAAGATGCATATTAAAATTAATCAAGTTAATGATGAAATATGGCTGAAGACGCGTTTTTAAATAATGTTGCACATTGTTTGATTGAACAAATACTCAGATTTGTGCTACAAGTAAAGCATTTTCTGACCATGATAAAACAGTCTGTGTCGTGTATTGACAAGATTACACTGTTTTATAAATTGAACACAAAATGGCAAAATGATGGCCATGTTTTATTGAACGATATTTCTGAGTCATACGTCTAGACCAATCTCCTAACGCAGACTGCACAAACATCATTACAACACGATATGTAATCTTGCACTTTACTACAGACAGATTTATTTTCTACTTGTGTTATCAGATACTTACCTTCTAATGGTGAAATGTAAGCCATATAGCATTCAGTAGCCTGAAATGGCAGTGCCATGAAATCTGTATGGATTTTTTTCAGTTCTCTCACATTGACTTGTTCATAACCACCATAGTCCAAATATTTGATGTCCACTTCATTGGTATCAGCGTTTACTTCAACAATTTGGCACCTATACCAAGCTCCTCTTGAGCAAGCGCAAATTGTACCAACTGAAAAACAGAAATTATGAAAATATTGATTTCTGAACATTTTTTTAGTGCCCTGGAAAGGGCACTCCGAATGGCTGGATTCAAGACCTAGGCCTAGCCAAGGATGGTATATTGAAACAAGCAACATCATGGTCAAAATAACTGCTGTTTCTATAGAGGGTCTTCTTTTAAACAAAGATGTTTGGCAAGATATTTTCCATTGTTATTGGTTGTTGCTATAGCAATTACAATTGTTATCAATTTAGATGGTAGTATTTTTACAAAAAAGTATTCACTTAAAATAGAGAATAAAGATGTTGTTATGAAATGAACAAGTCGATCCAAGGAACCTACAAATCAAGTAATTGGTCTGGTAGTTTTCAAGAAGTTTCAACTCCGCTAAGTCGTCTTTGCTGACACCAGAGTTAATCACTTTAGTTACAACCTGAATTTCTTTTTCAACAATCAAACTGATTATTTTAGTAGATTATGTATAATGAAATGAAATTTTTGTATTTGTTCATAACATGACTGCTGTACGTACTTGCATGCTGTACATACTTGCATGTTATACATCATTATCAGAGGTTTTTATGACATTATGAATGTTCAAAGGCCATCATGTGCCAAAACCTTCATCTACTTGTAAAAGTTGTCTGTGAAATGAAAATTACCTTGTACTGGTTCAATGATATCAGGAGTGACAGCCGGGGGATTGTAACACATCGCCATAGCAGCATTCAAATTTGACAATGATGCGAAGGAAGGGTTCATTGGCTGCTGTACAAATATATGACCGGCTGTTGTAATATTAGTAACAATCACATCAGCACAGATGTCTTCTGGGATAGCCAACTGAAAATACATGAATTGTAACGTGTAACAGACAACTTCATCATATATGGGAGGGGGGGGGGTGTGTGTGTGTGTTACATTCCGGCAAGTGGCCCAATTAAATGAACATGCATATTTACGTTAGTGAAGGCCACTGATTGGATGGTATCTACAAGCATGTGCATGCTGCAAGCTATCTGATAAAACTGATTGGTTGATTGGGAAAACATCTAGTGTACCTATATCATATCAAACACTTCATGCTTCAGAATGACTGGATGAGAGGTCAGTGGGTATAGAAACTCCACTGTCTCCTTAGACAGACAGCAGCTATCCAAGATGTACTGTTTTCAAGACAAAAACATTGAATTTTTTATTTTGAGCCAGTGCTAAGCTGAAAGATAAAGTCTGTACTATGTTTATGAAGTTTTCATGATTGGTTTGTGTGTTTTTCTGTGTGGAAAAAGTCATATGAAAAAAAACCCTTCAGAATGACCGACTATCAGTTTAAAATGCTACTTCCTGGTTAGCTGTTGTGTCTGTCTGTTGTGTCTGTCTGTTGTGTCTGTCTGTTGTGTCTGTCTGTTGTGTCTGTCTGTTGTGTCTGTCTGTTGTGTCTGTCTGTTGTGTCTGTCTGTTGTGTCTGTCTGTTGTGTCTGTCTGTTGTGTCTGTCTGTTGTGTCTGTCTGTTGTGTCTGTCTGTTGTGTCTGTCTGTTGTGTCTGTCTGTTGTGTCTGTCTGTTGTGTCTGTCTGTCTGTCTGTCTGTGTCTATGGAGTTAGCCGAGTTTCTAAACCTACTGACATCACTTTAAGTCATTCTGAAACAGGAAGTGCTTGAGGGCGCTTGACATATGAAAAGGGTCTATTGTCTATAAATAGAGTTGCGTGATATTACATACAGCAGATATTTCATAAAAATTTCAGAAAAGGGAGTGTTTAGCAAACTGTCGTTGCCCATTGTCTGTGTTCCTGTCATTAAAAGACTCATCTCGTACAAGATGTTGAGTCTACAACATAAAAACATCACCAGATATCCCAGTTTAGGTGGAGCTTATTCATAGTAACAAATTGTATTATTGTAAAAGAATTCCTAATAACTTAATGTTTATTATTTTGATTAATATTCATCACATTCTGTTATCGGCCATTTTAGTTATTTTGATTGGCTAATGTTTGGTTTGTGCATAATAAATGTTTATCTGATTTTTTTTGCAATCTGCAAGAACTGGTCTGTATGTATGTATGTATGTATGTATATACAGTCAAACCTGTCTTAGCGGTCACCCTCAGAGAACGGTCACCTCTACGGAGCGGTCACCCTGCAGCAGTCCCGTGCAATTTGCCATGTAATTGACACTGCATAGAACGGCCACCTCCACAACGCGGCCAGCGGTCACCAAATATCTAGGTAACCGGCGGCCACTACTGTGTATAACGGCCAGTGTTTTGGTCCAAAGCAGTAAAAATGGGGAAGAGACGATAAAAATGCGTTAAATCAAGACGGTCTCTCGATTACTAGTATACAATGAACAGTTGCACTGACCGGCGACCGCCGTCAATCATGCAGTTCATTTCACACGTAGGGTACTTACACTAGCAGGACAGACTGTTTATTTCCTCTGACATGCC